CCCTGTGGAGGGTTGAAGGGGGTAGGGGATAAGGTGTGAAAGGATAGGGGGTGATACGCATGTGAACAAATAAAAGGAGAACGAAGAAAGCTAGAAGTAAAACAAAAAAAAGTGAGAGGCAAACAAGAATCAGCAAAGAGCAAACCTAGAGCCGCTGTGGGCACGAATAGGGTCAGACGGGGTTGCTGGCTTTGAAGTGACTCACTCGACTCAAAGCCACAGCGAGTGGGTGAAAAGAACCTCCAGTAAGCAATGAATGCCACGAGTGTCGAAAGGCTAGGCAATGGATGATTCAACTATTGAGAGTGTTGGTACAAGAAGAAAAATCTAAGGGGTTGTACCCCACAGTGAGTACCCCACTACAGCCTATCTAACTTAAACATATAAACATATGTTTGACACACCCCCATAGGCAAAGTGGGGGAGAACAGAGGGTCACAAGGCCAGACAGGAAATGCAAAGCAAGCTCAGGGTGGATCACAACGTCACCACGCAATCTGAGCACAAGCAAGAGGCCACAAGGCCAGTTCACATGCAGAGATATATGTGTAACAACAACATCACATTGATATCAGCCTACAAGAGCAAGTATGCAGGTTTACATATAGATCACAGTACAAACAAAGCCTACAGCAAGTGAGGAAGCGTGGGCACAAGGCCTAACAAAGTACAGAAACGCTGATGATCACCAAGCGGAAGCGCCTTGGTGAATATATCAGCAGTGTTGGCCCGAGTGGCCACGTAAGTAAGACGAAGCTGGCCACGCTGCTGCAGCTCTCGAGCAAGGAAGTAACGGAGAGCGCTGTGCTTTGTTCTGTGCTCCAGTCTGTGCTCCTGACACAAGGCGATGGCGGCCTTGTTGTCGACGTACAGAACTGGAGGAGAACGAGGCCGCTCTCCCAAGTCGGACAGCAGGTAGGTGAGCCAGCGTAGCTCCTGCGCAGCCATGGCTGTGGCGTAGATCTCGGCCTCACAGCTGGAGCCGAGAACTGAAGACGAACGTGTAGAACGCCAGGAAACTGAACCAGAACCAAGGCTGAAGGTGTAACCCTGTGACGACCGCTGCGTAGCCTGGTCGTCAACCCAAGAGGCGTCCGAGTGACCAGTGAGGACAACGTCACCCCGTCCTCCAAGCACGAGCCCCATGCCCGATGTACTGCACAAGTAGCGTAGTACCCTCTTAGCAGCATCCATGTGCACCTTTCGGTGCCGACCAGGAGCCACGTAGCGAGCCAGAAGACCAAGAGGGTACGCAAGGTCAGGACGAGTGCAGGTCATCAGGTACATGAGGCAGCCCACTAGCTCTGGGTAAGGACCACTCGGCTCTACGGACTCGTCCGAAGGTGGAGCTGAGAGCGAGTGACCTGTAGCCAGAGGAGTGGCCTGTGCTGAGGACCAGGTGAAGCCGAAGCACTGAAGGACCTGCTGCACCATGTGTGACTGAGTCAGTGTGATGGTGCGGCGTGCTCTGTCCCGAGTGATCTGCAAGCCAAGATAGCTGTGCAGCTCACCCAGGTCTGTGCACGTGTGTCTCTTCTGCAGCTCCGACTTCACCAGGGCGAGAGCCTCAGTGTCAGCAGTGGCAAAGACCAAGTCGTCGACGTACACGAGGATGTAGAACGGCGGCAGCGAAGTGTCGGTGCGCAGAAACAGCGACGGGTCAGCAGTCGACGGAGCAAACCCAAGAGCCGCAAGTGTCGTCCTCAGTGTGTCGTGCCACTCACGTGGCGCCTGGCGGAGACCGTAGACTGGCCGCCGGAGGCTCCACCGGGTACCAGGAGGGAACGACCCAGTGAAGCCAGGAGGGCGGCGCAGCCAGATCTCCTCGTGCAAGCTGCCCTGTAAGAAGGCTGTGCTGAAGTGAAGAGAGTGAAGCTCGTAGTCACGCTGAGCGGCAACATGCAGCAGTACCCGAAGAGTGGTCATCTTCGGGGTGGGGGAGAAGGTCTGGAAGAAGTCAACTCCCTCTCGCTGACTGAAGCCTCGAGCCACGTAATGAGCCTTGAAGACAGGCGGAGAACCTGGAGGCCGCTTCACCCTGAAAATCCACATGCCACTGACAATGTTCGCCCCAGGAGGGGGAACCTCGTCAACGTAAGTGCCTGTGGACTTCCAGGATGCCATCTCTGCGTCCATGGCTGTCTGCCACTGAGAGGAGTACTCACCCGCGATCGCCTCAGCGTAAGAGCGCGGGTAGGGATGTCTGGTGCATCCGGGTCTCCCTCAGGGGCAAGCAGCATGGACACGAGATGAGGTGCAGCGGCTGCAAGACACTCAAGGTCCTCCTGCCTGTCCTCAAGGACGTCCGTGCCAAGAGCACACTCACCCCCGACGGACGGAGGACAGACAGACTCAGACTCAGCAACAAGAGTGGCGGCGTAGTCTAGACGACAGTGAGCAGCAAAATCAACAAGCTCAGCGACTAAGGCAGACGCAGCAGCAGACTCAAACGACGGGTCAGTGACAACAGTGGCAAGCAGACGCGGGACAGTAGAGTGCTCAGCACGAAACAGGTCAGACGCAGGGTCAGCAACGACAGGCAGAGAGGACGCAGGGGGAGGCAGCAGAGGAACACGCGACGAAGGAGAGGAAGGACGACGAACTACAAGGTGAGGGTCGGAGACAGTCGGCTGTCTCTGACTAGGAACACGACGACCGGAACGACCGGAACGGACAGGTGAGACAGGACGCGACGCAGGCTCACGACGCTCTGCAAGGCCACTAGTCTGCTCTGTGTACGGAGAAGGAGCAGGCAGCGGTGAGCCAGGCTGTAACGGAAGACCAGTAGACGAGGGAAGACTGAGAACCTGGCGAAGTGCAGAGTCAGGTGGTGGCTGAGACGACGGGGACGGCGGAGCGAAGAACAGGCGCGGCTGAGCAATGCCACCAGCACCAGTAGCTCCAGCACCACCAGCAGCTCCAGCACCTCCAGCAGCTCCAGTACCTCCAGCAGCTCCAGGACCCTCAGCAGCTCCAGCACCGCCAGTATCTCCAGGACCCTCAGCAGGTCCAGTACCGCCAGCAACCGCAGGACCCTCAGCACCTCCAGCACCTCCAGCACCTCCAGCACCTCCAGCAGCAACACCGCCAGCCCCAGCAGCTCCAGTACCCCCAGTACGAGCACCTCCGGGACCAGCGACACCAGCAGAAGAACCCCCAGCAGTAGAGCCCAGAGGTGCAAAAGTGCGACGCTGACGGCGACCGTACCAGTCGTGCAGCTGCTGGGAGGTAAGGGGCACACGCGAACGAAGACGACTGCTCCAGGGAGACCGCGTAACAGCAGTCTCAGAACCCTCAGGCGACTCACCCCCAGACTCAGCACCCCCAGGCTCCGCACACGCAGGCTCAGCACCCCCAGACGCAGCACCTCCAGACGGAGCACCCCCAGACGCAGCACCTCCAGGCTCCTCACGCGTAGGCTCAGCACCTCCAGGCTCCACACGCTCAGCGCCCCCAGACTCAGCACCCCCAAGCTCCGCACCCCAAGGGACATCACCACTAGCAGCAGGACCTGAGTCACCAGTGACCTCAACAGGCGCAGGCGCGGGGGGGTCTACCTGAGAGACACCTGAAGGAGCAGGACCTGGCGCGGGGAGGGGGTCTACCTGGGGAGGACCTGGGGCAAGAAAGAGCGGCGGGGGGGAGGGAGGAGCAGTGCGGTAGGGGAAGAGGCGGTAAAAGGGGACCGACTCGTCAAAGGTGACATCCTGAGACGCAAAGACACGGCGCGAGGCGGGGTCGTAAAACTGCCAGCCAGGCGCGTCAGGGACAAAGCCAAGGAAGACACAAGGAATGGCGCGAGGGGAGAGCTTGTCCGCAGCGGTATCGCGGACAAAGGCACGAGCACCCCAGACTCGGAAACGCGACGCGTCGCCAACCTTCCCCGTCCACAGCAGTGTGGGCGAGGTCTCCGGCAAGGAGACACGGGGCCAAAGGTTGAGCTGATGCGCGGCGTACCTGACCGCAAACGGCCACAGAAAATGGGGGGCAGCCGCATGGATCATGGAGGTACGAGCGACCTCCATGACTAAGCCAATGCGGCGCTCAGCAACCCCATTCTGCTGCGGAGAGGCCGGAAGCGTGAAAGTCTGGCGGATGCCGTGCTCCGCACAGAAGGCTGCCAAGAGGTCTGAGGAGAACTCACCACCTCGGTCAGAGTGCAGACGCAGGACAGGAAAGTCCGTCTGGAACCGCTCGCGGAGCTGGAGACGAGTAGCGCGGATCCAGGGGATCAGAACAGCAGGGACATCCCCTTTGCGCTGCAAGGGGAAGACCGTGGTGTAACGCGTGTAGTCGTCGACAACCAGCAGGAAGTACCGCTCGTGGCCCGGTCCACGGACGCGGGCTGGGCCCCACACGTCCAGGTGGAGAGTCTGCAGTGGAGCCTCTGTGGGAGGGAACGAGGAGGAGTGAGGAGCGGCGCGCTGCCGCCCCTCGACGCAAGGAATGCAGGGCGGCGCAGGCGAGGGAGGGAGGGAGGCAGAGACCTGGGAAGACCAGAAACAAGGAAGCGAGAATGCATGCTACGAAGGCGAGGCAGGGAGGGGTGACCAAGGCGGTGGTGCCACAGGAGAGTGTCGTGCGACAGCCGGCGACACTCACACTGTGTAGCAACCTGAGCAGAAGCGTGCAACTGGGGAGACAAAGGGGCGGAGCGCGACGCAGTGGTGAGGGTGTACAGACTGGATCCTGGCGCACGAGTGAACGTGGCCAGGTGGTGACCAGTCTGGGAGCACGTGCAAATCGCCACACGCTGCCGGCCAGGGGTGAAGGTGTCAACCCCCGCATCCTGGAGGACAGCGTTACTCACCAAGTTCGTAGAGAACGAGGGGAGGTGGAGACCAGACAGCTCACCAGATGGGACCGCCGGACACGGAAGCACAGTGGAAGACCGTGCAAGCACTGGGCCCCCAGAGGGGTCAGCCAGTGAGACAGGAACAGGTGCAGGGAGGGGAGTGACTGTGGTACTGTCGCGAAAGAAACAGCGGGAAGCACCAGAGTCAAGTGTAAAGGTGTGCAAGGCCTGTGCAGGCGCAGTACCAGGGGGAGCAGACTCACAAGCACCAAGTGCTGCAGGGGCTATACCAGGGACTATACCAGGAGCCGGCGGCACACACAAGTAGCAGTCACCCTCAGCACTAACAGACAATGCATACATAGCAGCAAGAATTGCCTCATAGTCAAGATCAAAGATAGGTACATCACGTCTAAGCAAGTCTGCCCAGTTGGGGAACTCAGTAGCATCAGGAAACTTGGTGCGCCAGGCGTCGCTAAGCCGAGCAAAGCAGCGCTGCTCAGTGTGAAAGCCTGTGCACTGGCGACCAGCGCGGGGACCTGTGCGGATGATAAAGGGGCAACGACCAGGACCCCCAGAAGCCCCACGCCCGGCATACCAGTCAAGAAGCTGCTGGGAAGTGGGGGTCTGGCGCTGACGCTGATGCTGCTGCTGCTGCTGCTGCGGCTGCTGCTGGCCCTGACCACCAATGCCACTACCGCCCCCTCCTCCCCCACCGCCGCTGCTGCCCCCTCCACCGCTCCCAGTGCCTCCGCCGCCCCCACCACCACCTCCACCGCCTCCACCCCCACGACCACCCCCACCACCTCCACCTCCCCCGCCGCCTGCACCACCGCCACCTCCACCGCCACCCCCACCGCCCCTGCCACCCCTGCCGCCCCTGCCGCTGCGACGCTTCCCACTAGGAGCGGAAGCAGCTCCGACCCTCTCAGCACCAAGGTAGTCGTGAACAGCAGCTGCGGAGGCGTAGGAGGGGGTGAGAGGGGAGGGGGAGCACCCCTCAAAGAGGGGAGAGCGAGGGGTGCCACGAGCAGCACCTACAGCGAGGATGTTTTTCTCTGCTGCGAGGAGGTGCTTCTCGAAGTCGTCGACAGTGAGAGTGGTGGGGTCTAGCGCTAGGAAGTGGTCCCTGACAGAGCTAAGAGTGTCAGGGAGGCGGGTGACGAGGAAATAGAGAGTGAAGTACATCGGGGGGGGGTTTGCGGCGCAGAACTCGGCTGAAAGAGCGGCACGAAAGCGAGAGTCAGTAGCACGTAGGTGAGAAACTAGGTCCTCAGCAGTGGTGAACGAGGAAAGATCGGGGAACAGGTACGGTAGCATGAGTCGACCTATGGCTGCAGTGGCCGGGGAGGAGTAGCGCGCAACTACAGCGTCGTACAGTGTCTTAGCAGTTCTGTGCTGGCTGAAGTGCGCTCGCTCAGTAATCGGCAGGTGGTTCCTAATAGCTAGGCGTGCAGCAGCATCACGAGTCTGCCACTGGGAGCGTTCTAGAGCAGGAGCATCAGCAGCAGGAGTAACGGCAGTGCCAGAGACGTAATCAAACAGGGAAACGCCCTCTTTGGCATCAGTCAGAAGGAACAGCTGGAGATCGTCTAACCACACAGCGAACTCGAGGGGACGACCGTCAGGCTCGAATGCGAGAACGTTGGGCGTCGCCATATTGGCTTAAGGCAGGAGGCAGCAGGCAGCAGGCAGCAGACAGAGGCAGCAGGCACCAGGTAGGAGGCATGTGGCAGGCAGGCGGTAGCAGGCAGCAAGCAGGCAGGCGGCAGCAGGCAGTAAGTAGCAGGCAGGCAGCAGGCAGGCAGCAGGCAGGCAGCAGGCAGGTGGCAGGCAGGCTGCAGCAGGCAGGCAGCAGGCAGCAAGCAGCAGGGAGGCAGCAGGCAGGCAGCAGGCAGGCTGCAGGCAGGCGGCAGGCAGGCTGCAGCAGGCAGGCAGCAGGCAGCAAGCAGCAGGCAGGCAGCAGGCAGGCAGCAGGCAGGCTGCAGGCAGGTGGCAGGCAGGAGCGGCTGCAGCAGGCAGCAGCAGGCAGCAGGCAGCAGGCAGCAGCAGCATGCAGCAGGCAGCAGCAGGCAGCAGCAGGCAGCAGCAGCAGGCAGGCAGCAGGCAGCAAGCAGCAGGCAGGCAGCAGGCAGGCAGCAGGCAGGCTGCAGGCAGGTAGCAGGCAGGAGCGGCTGCAGCAGGCAGCAGCAGGCAGCAGGCAGCAGCAGCAGGCAGCAGGCAGCAGCAGGCAGCAGCAGCAGGCAGGCAGCAGGCAGCAAGCAGCAGGCAGGCAGGCAGCAGCAGCAGGCGGCTTGCTGCGCTAAGCTGCAGGCTGCGCGCGTGGCTGCGGGCAGCGCGCATGGCGACGAGCTGCGCGCGGCTCCTGGCTGCGCGTGGCGACGGGCTGCGCGCGACTGCGTGGCTGCGCGTGGCGACGGGCCTCGCGCGACTGCGGGCGGCGTGCGGCGGCGGGCTGCTCGGGCGTGGCCTAAACGGGCTGCGCTCGGGCGGCGTAAGTGGCGCGCGGGCGGGGCCTAAACGGGCCGCGCGAGCTGCGGAAGTGGCGCGCGGGCGGGGCCTAAACGGGCCGCGCGAGCTGCGTAAGAGGCATGCGCGGCAAAAAAAAAAGGGGCCGCGCGCGGGCAGTCGAGGCGCGCGCGGGCAGTAGGCAAGGCAGGTGAGGTGGGCCCTAATCCTAGGTCCTAAGGACCTACGCTCTAGATGCCATGTCGAAAGGCTAGGCAATGGATGATTCAACTATCGAGAGTGTTGGTACAAGAAGAAAAATCTAAGGGGTTGTACCCCACAGTGAGTACCCCACTACAGCCTATCTAACTTAAACATATAAACATATGTTTGACAACGAGGGTTCCTGCAGGGAGAACAGGCGACAGAGTTGCGAGGAACATCATAGAAGACTGCAAGCCTGAATGGGATGTTCCTTTGCTTTCAAAGGGAGATGGACGAGCTTCTAGTAAGCCATGGGTGCCATGCAGCCTCGCCGATACGCCACCTTCACATCCCCTCATAGCCACCCCCCAAGTCAACCAACCCCACCCACCCCTGCCCCTCTACAGATGACTGAAACCACCACCCACCTAGAGCCACGCCAGCTAGGATGTCTCCCGGCGCGTTGCTGTACGTATCCAGGTCAGCGAGCCCCGCACCAGCTGCGAGGACCAATGGCCACGCGACAGCTGGCACGCGCCAGAGGTGGCTTGCGCGGAGGGAGTCCCATAGGCGGGTGGCAGTAAAGTTGTTGTGAGGGGAGGGTGTAGCGATCACCAAAAGATTGTGAGGGGAGGATGTTGCATTGGCATTTGGGTGCTCTGGGGACTGGTGTGATTGATGGGGATGCTGGAGGGGTTGATTGCATTCCTGGTGTGATTGAGTGCGGTGCTGGGGTGAGTGATTGTGACGATGGGAGGGGCGGTGGCTGGGTGAATCAAGGGGAGAGGGCTGCTGGGGAAATGATCGCTGGATGGTTCGGGAGAGGAAGAGGAGGAGGAAGACTGCTGCTGAAAAGCTGACTGCCACGCAGGTAAAAAGGGAAGGGAGGGTGGGGATAGGAAAAAATGGGGAACGGGGTGTCAGCATTGGGGAGAGGACAGAGTGGGGTGAGGACAGAGGAATGAGGTTGGCATAATAATGCAACGAAGACAGTGTGACGGTGTCCCAGCACAGGCGCGAAGTGGGACACCCGCTTTGAAACACAGAATGGGAAAAATGCTCTTTGAAGCGCATTTTAGAATCGCTCCCGGTTGAAATGGTCACCTGCTGCATGGGCGGAGGGGAAGCTTTTGCTGAAATAGTAAAGGCCGGTGGGAGGTGGCACACAGGTGACACCCGCTGACGGGGAGACTACCTGGAAAGAACGTGCAGATGAAAGGGATGGATGGGGAGGAAAGGAGAGGAGGCAATGATGGGACTCCTGCAGGGAGTGATGCTGGAAGTTCAGGGGTATACGGTAATAGGAAGTTCAAGAATACAATTCACAGCAGGAGATGACATCAGGACATGAACATGGCACTGCAAGGGAATTGAAACCACACTGGTTGGGTGCCTTGCAAGCAGGCTGTGAGAAAGCTGGGGCGAGGCCGGCCGATGGCGCACTGGAGCAGAGTAGCGGCCAGCCAGGTGGTTTGTACGGCTGAGAGTAGCCCTTTGGTGCAGTATGTGGGATGATAGGGGGAAAATGGGGGGAAAAGGGAGTGAGGGAAAGGGCGGAGGTGTCCAGGGGGGGCTGGCTGATGGCGCACTGGAGGAGAGTAACAGCAAGCCAGCCATGTGGTCTGCATGGCTGAGAGCAGCCCTGTGATGCAGTACGGGACATGATGTGATATGGGAGACGGTGAGGGACGGTGACGGATGGTGAGGGGAGGGGAGGGATTGTGAGCGAAGGGAGGAAGGCAAGGGATGCGGGAGAAAGAAAGAGAAGGGAAGTCAGTGCGGGAAGGGGAACGCAATGGGGGAACCACTAACGGTGCTGCTTGTAACGAGTATGGACCTGTGCGTTTAGTGGTCTAGCTTGTAACGAGTATGGACCTGTGCGTTTAGTGGTCTAGCTTGTACCGAGTATGGACTTGTGCAGCTCGAGCAGGTTCCTTTGAGGGAGCAGCACCAGTAGGAAAGCAAGGAGGGGAGCCAACACTGAAGCAGTCTGCAGCAATCAGGCCCGTGGGGAGGGGAAGCGCGAACAGAGGAGGATGAAGGCTTTCAAAGAGCAGCACCAGCAGGAATGCAAGCACGGGAGCCAGCACTGAAGCAGTCTGCAGAAATCAGGCTCGGGTGGGATGAGGAGGAATGGCGGAGGGTGAAGTGGCTTGTGTGAGTCGACTCAAAAGATAGCACCCAAACAGCCTGCAGCAATCAGCGTTCGGGGCAGCGTAAAGAGTGGAGAGTGGAGGCTTTTAACAAGGATGAAGAGCCTATAAGGTAGTATAGCGAGAGAGCAATGGTGATATGATGGCTTGACGAGTTGTCAGCGAGAAATGAAGGCTTTTAGGGGGGATGAAGCGGATATAAGGAGGTAAGTAAGTAGAGGGAGAGAGGCGATGGTGGTGGGACTTACTGTAAAAAAGGTTGCCCCTGCATTGTCAACCACGGGATACCGCGGAGAGTGAAGGGTTTCAGGCGGGATGAAGCGCTGATAGGGAGGCAGATAGAGCGAGAGAACGACGTTGACTGGGAGCAAGCCGAGGAACAGCAACCAATCCGTTTTGCTTGCGACGATTGCTCGCCACAATCCTCGCGCATGATGGTGCTGCGACGACCATGGGCTCTGCGACGAGGATTGCGACAGCAGCTGCGACATTGAACTGTCGCGTGGCGAAGGTCGTTCGGTCGGGTTGAGGGGTACATCCAGGTGGAGGCTGGAGCCTGGAGAATTTGAGGCGAGAAAAGCGGCAGCAGGGAGAGAAGCGGCGATACGGCGATTACTTCTTGGTGGCTGCTAATCGCGTTGTAATGCGAACAAAAAAGGACAAGAGGCACGGCGAAACTGAGGAGGAGCCTATAGGGAACCGAGAAGAGGAGACTAGGAACTGACCTCGGGATGAATTTCGAATCATCCGATCATGCGAATGGGGTATCAGTGTCAGTGCGAGTATAAGTGTTACCACGCCTTCATTCCCTGGTAAAGGTATCAACAGGAATTCGTAATTTTCGTGGGGATGCTTGGATTATATGGAGTCATCTACTCCGCTCGTTCATCTGATTCGACATGTGATGGCGAAGCTGAAAGCGGGAGCGGGAGAAGCCTTGCATAATGAGCCGAATCGAAGGAATAATCCGGCCAGCCATTAGGATCCACCACAACTCTGTTCGGTTTGTTGCGGTGAAAAGCGGCATGAAACCGTAACCTTGATATACCATGCGTAACCCTTCTGAACCGCACTGAGCGATCAGTGGACGAATGTGCTTGACACTAGTGAAGCCTTGGGATGATCGGACAGGCTTGAGGTTCAGGATGTATTGGAGTTTTGAACTCCAGCTGATAGGAGAAACCAGTGATGCTGGCATGGTTTGTAAGGAATATGAATCCATTTTCAATCGGGTACACCCGGAGACCAGGGCAGAACTCATGCCTGACAGCCACAAACCTCCTAAACAAGCGCGGCTAATCGAAGGGCGACAGGTGGACAAAACCATACCTGCACAGCATTACAGCCTGTTTTGACGAAGAATTCTCCCTTGTGGTCGCAAAATTTGTTGCCAATATTTGACCCGCGGAGGTATCACCCATGTGCGAAAAGGCAGGCTAGGTGTACAATGAACTCCATGAACACTACTTGAGAACGCTTTCGCGAATCGCGAAATTGGTGTTTGTTCGAATTTGATAACACCTCGCTCGCCCAGCCTTGATATTGCTCCCGTCCTTCCATCTTTCGTTCTTTCTCGTTTTCCATCCTGATCTTTCTCTTTTCCCACTTCTGTCGCTTCTTGTAGTGGTTTTCTATGTTCGGGTTTTAGTCTGCCCGCAATGCCGCTACTAGGCGGAAAATTACATCCCTTAGCCCAGCCACCTGCGGACTTGGAGGATAACGAGCAGCTGTATATCGTCAGGTTCACGAGAGAAGCGTTTCGCAATTACGAGTGAGCATTGCGCCGATTTCTCTTATCCTGGCCTGAGCATGTCCGAGCAAACCCTAATTTCATTTCGAGCACCCGAATTCGCTGTTTTCGGCCGAAAGCTACGTAGCCGCGTCCCGTTCGTTCTGCGGCCGTCTGTTTAGCAGAATCGCATTGACAAGGACGAGAGACAGAGATCGGCTCCCGGGTGCCTTGATACCGTATCCTCTTTGTATCTGGTTCCGATTTCTTAGTTTATACCGTGATCCTTCATACCTTCCGTTCTAGAAAGTGGTAGAAGCTGACTTCTCAAACGCTTGACCTTCCAAACATATTTCCAAAAATACCACTCCCGTCCTCCCAACTTCCGTGCTCCCCGCAACTTGCTGATCAGGGACTATCTTTCCGCCATTCGACGCTATAAGAAGCGTATATGGACCTGTACCGAGACGGGTCATAGCGGGTTGACTTACGAAGAGGCACTCAATAGCGAGACAGAGGCGGTTGAAGAGAAGAGGCGGCTGAAGCAGTCGGGTTACAGGGATCTGCCGGACTGGTTTCACAAGATCGCCATCCCTATCGTGCACAAAAGTAAGGCATTTTTCCGTTTTCGAGGCGCCTCAAAATTCGCACAAAAGTAAGGCATCTCGTTTTAGCTGCGGCTGGTGTTTCAATTTGTGAAATCTCCTTGATCAGCTTTGGTTGGTGGCATAATTTGAGGCTTCTTAGAACACGCTTATACATTGCGGATCATGCCATGTTCTGAGAGGTCCCAGGATACGTTTATCTACTGCGGTTGGTGGTGTAACACGAGGCTTCTGGAAGCACGTTAACCATCGGGTCTCAAGGTTGATTTGTTCGGTGCTGTTTTCCTTCCAGTTTGTTTCTGTTTGTCTGCTTCGTGTCTTGGGCACACGGGCCAAAGGTGCTCGGATAGGAGCCAACAAATTTACGAGCTTTGTAATGACGTGATTTCAGACCGATGAGATTTGATTCGATCTGACGTGATGTGATCTGGTCGGTTCTGGTTTGTTCTGGTTTGCTGCTTACACGTATCTTGCACATGGAATAAGGTTGCACTAGTCACGTTTCTGAATCGACTCTAAAACGTTCTCCTCTGATCTAGGATTTCATGTTTCAGGCTAGCAGAGCGTGGATGCTCTCTTAACGTTTCCAAGTCGCCGCAAAATCTCTGTGTTGATCTGATTTGGTATGATTTGTTGTGGACCTGATGTTTCAGGCAAGCTGAGCAAGGGTGCACTTGTAACGGCGATTCAAGACGCACAAGTGGAGAGAGGCAGGTGAGCACAAGGGGAATCGTGAAAGATAATGGAACTTGTGGTTGAAGCTAGGCGTGTGCATGTGTTGAATCAAACTGTTTCCATTAAATTGACTACAGGCATTCCCACCCCCTCCACTTTCAACCTATTGGCTCACACTCCTCAACTCCCACCCCCTCTGGTCTCCCCTCTCCTTATGATACCTTCTTCCCTCTCTCCTCGCTCGCAGCGAATGGATAGGCAAGGAGCCGCGCATGGTTCACCTGCTTCGCCTCTCGCAGCCTGCTGCAGGACAACAAGTGGGCCGTTGCTAGCGACCTGCGCTCTAAATATGGATTCAGCGCCTCACCTCTCTCTCTCACCACCTCTGGTGTTCTCTCCTCCTCTCTCATTCCCTCCCTCTCCCTGCTCGCAGCGACCACATAGGCAAGAAGCCAATAAGCGCATGGCTCACCGGCTTTGCCTCTCGCAGCCTGCCGCAGGACAACGAGTGGACCGTTGCTAGTGACCTGCGCTCTAAACATGGATTCAGCTCCTCTCCTCTCTCTCTCACCACCTCTGGTGTTCCCTCATCCTCTCTCATTCCCTCCCTCTCCCTGCTCGCAGCGACCACATAGGCAAGAAGCCGATAAGCGCATGGCTCACCCGCTTCGCCTCTCGCAGCCTGCTGCAGGACAACGAGTGGACCGTTGCTAGTGACCTGCGCTCCAAATATGGATTCGGTCCCAGCAGGAAAAGTCCTGGGAAGGGCAAGGGGAAGGGACGGGGGAAGGATGGAGAGGCGGGCGGGGTGGATAGTGGTGGTGGTAGTGGAGAGGGGCGGATGGGAGGGGTAGGAGCAGATGGGGCAGAAGGAGAGTCGAAAAAACGAAAGGCTTCGGTGGTAAACGGTGTGGAAAAGGGTGGTGCAGGGGCGCAGAAGCAGCAGAAGCGGGGGAAGGAGGAGGAGGGTGGAGGTGGAGTGGTGGCGACAGGCGGAGAGGAGGGAGAGGGAGCTGCTTCCACAGGGAAATGCCAGTAAGTGCTTCGCCACTTTTTGTCTTGAGTCGTGTCCCTCCCTAGTTGTGTTCCGTGTGACATATGGGTCAAGCCAAAGTGGGTGGGGCGTGGTGAGGGCGTGGAGGGCGAGGGAGCTGCTCCCTCTTGTTGGGCGGGGACAAGACAAAGAGAGATTCTGTGCATTCCGAACCCACTTCCCCTCTGCATCCCCTTCCCCCCTCTTCCCCCATTTTTCTTCCTACTTCCCCCTCCCCCCCTTTTTCCTCACCTTCAGTGTGTGCAAGTGCAAGGTCAGCAAGGACAACGCCCCTCTGCTCTCCTGCTCCTCCTGCCCGCAGGCCATCCACCTGCCCTGCCTGCCTGCCTGCCTGCTGCCATACATCCTTCTGTCGTGCTGCCTCCTCCCGTTATCCCTCCCCTCTCCCACCCCCTTTCCCACCCCCGGCAGTGTGTGCAAGCGCAAGGTCAGCAAGGACAACGTCCCCCTGCTGCTCTCGTGCTCCACCTGCCCTCGGGCCTTCCACCTCCCGTGCCTGCCTGCTGCCATGCTGCCACCAGCGGCACAGCTAACAGAGTCACAACCCACCGCAGAGAAAACCCATGAGTCACAAGGCCAAGGCTCGCAGGGTGGAGCGGAGAAGAGTGAGCTGCGTCCTGTAGCAAGTCCAGAAGGCGGAGAGAAGGAAGGAGGAGAGAAGGAAGGAGTGAAGGAGGGAGGAGGGCAGGCTCTGCTTTGTCCCGTCTGCTGGCGAAGGTGGGTGTTGCCGTTCGTTGATTGAAAAAACGCCTCACCTTGGCTAAGGTTCGAAATCTGAGTGGACTTCACTGGAGGGTGTCGCTGTGATATCAAGTGCCTGCGTGGCTCATTCACGGTCAATATTTTTTCGTAGTTGGCAGCACAGACCTCTAACTCCATTCCATCCTCCTTTAGAGGTTGGCAGCACCCCCCCCCCCCCCCCCCCCCCCCCCTTTTTTTTTTTTTTTTTTTTTTTTTTGAGGCATCTCAAGTTTAGAGTTTTGGGACTAAACCCAAAACGCTAAAATCCATTGTTTCCTTCATCTCGTGCAGTCCTCTGCTTTCCTCCTATTTCCCCATTTGTGTTCGTCCTAATGTTATCTTGTTTCCCCATTCTTCGTGTCTAAACCCGAAACGCAGCCAAACAAAACAGCAGCAGAAGGAGGGGCAAAGGAAAGCCGACGAGGTAAGCAGGGTTAAGACGGATTCAGACTAGGTAAATTAGCAGCACACTGTGCTGCACATGTGCTCTTATCCCGTGATCATTATTTGATTCGTAATTTTTGAGAAGGGAATGGAAAGTGTTGGTCCATCCTTGCCTAAAGAGTTGACCTCTCCCTGCCCTGTGCATCCCTGTGCATCCCTGTGCATCCCTGTGCATCCCTCGCCTTCCCTGTCACATGCATCCCTGTTGCTTCCAATGCAGGAGCGCAAGCTGCAGAAGCAGCGGGAGAGGGAGAGGGAGAGGGAGCAGCAGCAGCGCAAGCGGCAGTACCCGATTGAAGACCTGGAGGTGGAAGAGGAGGAGCGGAGGGAGCTAGCTGCTGCTCTTGCTGCCGCTGCTGCTGCTGCTGCTGCTGCTGCTGCTGCCACTGGTGCTGCTGCTGATGGTGCAACTGCTTGTGCCACACCAGCTATCCCCACTGCTGCTCCAGATGCTACCACTGCCGCTGCCACTTCTGCTGCTACTGCTTCACTACTCCCAGGAGCCCAATCCGCGGCTCAATCCCTTCTTCAGCCTCATACTCCTTCTCCTGCACCCGCCCTCGCACTTACACTACCCCAGCGACCCCCACGCCCCACTCCTCTGCGGGCTGAAATCGCCCTGGGCCTGGATGGGACTCTGGATCTCTCCCTGTGGGGGAAGGCCCAGCGGCAGTGGGGGATGCACGCCGGTGCTGGTGGGTCTGATGCGGTTGAGAGAGCTGCAGATGTTGGAATGGCTCTTGGTGGTGATGTTGATGGTGGGATGGTGGAGAAAGGAGTGAAGGAGGGGGAGGAGAAGGAGGAGGAAGACAGGAAAGAAGGGGAGAAGGAGGAGGAGAGGAAAAAGGAGGAAGAGAAGGAAGAGGACAGGAAAGTGGAAGAGGAGGGTGCTGATATCGATACTATCATTGACCAGATGGTCGATGCTGACATGGCCAAACGGCGCGCTGCCATTGGCCCTCATCCTCCCAAGTCACCCCAACTCGAGGCTCCCCATACCTGGGACAACCACAAGAAACCAGAGCTTCTTCTGGTGCCACACAATGCACTGTCCAGCTCTGTCAATGCCGAATCCAGCCAGCCCACTCTCCTGCTACCCCAGTCAATGGGCGACGTGCTACAGGTCTTTCAATTCCACCGGGAGTTCAACCGCTTTGCGAGAATCTCGCCTGTCCCATTACGTAAGCTCGCTCGCGCACTTGCACAAGCGGACGAAGAATCCGGGTGGCTGGTTTTGTCCGACCTGCATGTTGGGTTGTTCCGGGCGCTGCTGAATCTGGGCGGCGGGGAGGTGCCGGGCGGGCATGAGGGAATTGGCGTGAGTCAGAAGGTTCTGGACCGGTGGAAGAGGCTTCTGAATGCTGCCACGTGGCAGGAGGTCATTCGCAGGTGAGTTTGAAGAGGGGTTTGTTGCTCGAGAGCACTTTAAGTGAGGAGAATTGGGAAGGGAGGACGGAAGTGGGAATGATAGAGGGCAGGCAGGCAGGGGAAGGGGCTAGGGATTTGAAGAGGGTTTTTCCTCTCATCTCCCGCTTTTCCCCCATCTCCTTCCCTTAAACGGTTTTGAGACGTCTCAAAACTAGCTTTTCCCCCATCTCCTTCCCTGAAACGGTCCTTGCATTGATTTCCTCTGTCTCCTCTCGTCCCCATCTCCCTCTCTCCGCCATCTCCCTCCGTAACCCACACGCTCTTCTATCTCTCATCTCACCTCACGTACCTGATCAGGGCGAGCCCCTTGCCTCCTCTGCTCGCCACCATATTTCACTCTCTCTCCTCCCCCATGCTCCCTTAGCCTCGCCATCTCTCCTCTCTTCCCATTCCCTTCCGTCCTCCCTTCTCCTCTCCCTGCGCCTGAGCGTGCCCTCTCTGCTCCTCTCCGACGTGCTTGACTCTGAGGAGACTCGTGAGATGCTCGCAGAGAACATGGAGGCTGGGATCGACCTGGGAAAGAGAAGAGAGGCACTATTCTCACGCGTGCTTCCGCTCTTCCATTGCTCCCCACCCCCACCACACCCCCCCCCTACCCCCCAACCAATCCAGGTACCTGATCAGGGCGAGCCCCATGCCTCCTCTGCTCTCCGCCGTGGCCCACTCTCTTTCTTGCTCGCCCTCGCTCGCCTTGCCTCCCGGGGTGCACCTGAGCGGGCTCTCCCTCCTCCTCTCCACCCGCACCCCCCTTCCTCCACACGATCCAGGTACCTGATCAGGGCGAGTCCCATGCCTCCTCTGCTTGCTGCCATCGCCCACGCGCTCTCCGGCTGGCCCTCGCTCGCCTTGCCTCCCGGGGTGCACCTGAGCGGGCTCTCCCTCCTCCTCTCGGACGTGCTTGACTCCGAGGAAACTCGTGAGATGCTCGCAGAGAACATGGAGGCTGCGATTGAGCTGGGGAAGAAGCGGAGCGTTGAGGTGCTGGAGGAGCGGAGGGTGCGGAATGAGGAGGTGAGGAAGCAGCAGGAGGAGCAGCGGCTGGAGAGGGAGAAGCGGGAGAAGGAGGAGAAGGAGAAGCGGGAGAAGGAGAAGAAGGAGAAAGAGGAGAAGGATAAGAAGAAGGGGAAGGGGGAGAAGGAGGAAGAGGGAAAGGAGGAAGGCGGCAAAGGGAAGGGGAAGAAGAAAGAGAAAGAGAAGGGGAAGGAGGAGGAGCAGGAGAAGGAGAAGGGGAGTGGGAAGGGGAGCGAGAAAGGGAGTGAGAAGGGGGAGTGTGATACAGATGAGGAGGTGGAGTTTCTGTTTGCAGTGCCAGAGGAAGTGAGGGAGTACAGGGGCGATCCCATGGACAGGCGGGCAGTATTGGCTCATAAAGAGAAGCTGAGGCAGGAGGAGGAACGCATGGGCAGGTGAGGGGTGGGGATGGGCAGGTGGGGATGGGAAGGTGAGGGGTGGGCAGGTGAGGGGTGGGATGGCAAGTTAGAGGTGAGACGCATTTCTTAGGCACCTGAAGACCTCATCAGAAGTCTTCACCTTCAACCAACCTTCCTCCCCACCCCGGTTTCCCTTCCTACCCCCAACTGTTCAACGCAATGAATGGCAGGCTGAAGAGCGATTACATTCGGCGCAAGGAGGCAGAGAAGCGAGCTGCTGAGAGGGCACGGACCGAGGTGGAGAGAAAGGTGAGACGGTGGTGAAGGGGAAGGGGTGATGAAATGCAAGGGAGGGGATGATGCTGGGAGGTGATGATGCTGGGAGGTGATGATGCTGGGAGGGAGTGGGATGAGAGTGGGGAGAGTAGGAGGCTTGCAGGAGGATCCTTCCGGTGCATTCAAAGTCCGATGGAGCCCCAAGTCCGATACAAAGTCCGATGGAGCCCCAAGTCCGATACAAAGTCCGATGGAGCCCCAAGTCCGATACAAAGTCCGATGGAGCCCCAAGTCCGATACAAAGTCCGATGGAGCCCCAAGTCCGATACAAAGTCCGATGGAGCCCCAAGTCCGATACAAAGTCCGATGGAGCCCCAAGTCCGATACAAAGTCCGATGGAGCCCCAAGTCCGATACAAAGTCCGATGGAGCCCCAAGTCCGATACAAAGTCCGATGGAGCCCCAAGTCCGATACAAAGTCCGATGGAGCCCCAAGTCCGATACAAAGTCCGATGGAGCCCCAAGTCCGATACAAAGTCCGATGGAGCCCCAAGTCCGATACAAAGTCCGATGGAGCCCCAAGTCCGATACAAAGTCCGATGGAGCCCCAAGTCCGATACAAAGTCCGATGGAGCCCCAAGTCCGATACAAAGTCCGATGGAGCCCCAAGTCCGATACAAAGTCCGATGGAGCCCCAAGTCCGATACAAAGTCCGATGGAGCCCCAAGTCCGATACAAAGTCCGATGGAGCCCCAAGTCCGATACAAAGTCCGATGGAGCCCCAAGTCCGATACGAAGTCCGACACAAGAATAGTGGGATTGCTACAGAAAGATCCCTCAGGTGTGTACAAAGTCCGATGGAGCCCCAAGTCCTTCAAGAGTAGGGGGCTTGCAGGAGCGCCCTTCAGGTGACTTTTGAGTCGACTCAAAAGCCACCTCCTTGCAGATAGATCCTTCAGGTGCGTATGAAGGAAAGTGATCTTGTTTCACAAGGCCCTGCTTCTCGCTTTCCCTCCCTTCCCTTCCCCCAGCGCACGGCACAGGAGCGAAAGCGGGAGGAGGAGTGGAAGAAGCGAGAGGAGGCGTATGAAAAGGAGATGGCTCGGTTTGTGGTTCGAACTGTGCCCCTGGGATTGGATAGGCACTACAACCGGTACTGGTTGCTCAGTGGTGAGCCTAAGGTGGTGTGGGTGGAAGAAAGAGGAGGGATGGTGGGAGAAGAACAGATGTGGCAAGGAGGGAGCGGAGGAGGAGGAGGTGAGGGAGGAAGTGTGAGAGGAGGGGTGGGAGGTGAGGTGGGGACTGGGTGGTCCGGTTCTCGCTGGTTCTGCTACACTTACCGCGAGGATATAGAGGAGCTTATAGCGAGTCTGAATGAAAAGGGGATAAGGGAGGCGGCACTGAAAGCAGCACTTGAGAAGGTCAAGGGGAGGCTCATAGCGGGGATGAAGAAAAGGGGGCCTGGTGTGGGGGGGAGGGAGAAGGGGAAGGGTGGAGGAGGGGGAGGAGGGGAAGGGGAGGGCGGTAAAGGGGACGAGGAGGAGAAGGAGGAGGTAGAGGTGGAGGAGGAGAAGGATAGTGAAGAGGATGGCGAGAAGAGGAGAGGGGAAGAGAAAAAAGAAGTGGAGGAAAAAGGACCTGGGTCTGATGGGGTGGAGGTGGAGAGAGAGGTGGGGCAGAAACGGGAAGAGGAAGGTAGGTGGAAGGGGGAGGCGAGTCTGATAGGAGAGAAGCTCAGGGAGCAATTGGAGGGGTTGAGAACGGTATTGGAGAGGCTAAAGGCAGCTCCGCCTCCTGCTGCAGCCACTGCTGCGGCTGCTTCTGTGCTCGTACCAGTTCCTACTACTGCTGCTGCTGGTGCTGCTGCTGGTGTTGGTGCTGCTGCTGGCACGAGGAGCAAGGCAGCCACAGCTACAGCTGCGACACCTGCTCCCAGTTGGGGTGTTTGGGCCGCACTAGTCTGCAAAGCGACTGCCGTTGCCCCACCTAAATCGGATCAGATCAAGTTAGGGGGCCTTCACAGCTCCTCTGGTTTAGCTGTCTTGATGGGCGGCAAAAATCGTCTTGACTCTCGTGCTCCTGCTGCTGCTTCGGATACTGCAACAGCTGAACCACCAGCAGCAGAAACAGGAGCAGAGGCAGGAGCAGGAAAGATCGGAGGAGGAAAGGCAAAAGGAGGAAAGGAAGGAGGAGAAAAGGGAGGAGAAGAGAGGGCAGGAGCAGAGGCAGGAGGAGTCAATCCAGTCAAGGGAGTCAGCAGTGAGCGCGTCCAGCTGGCGCGCCAGGTGGCAGCGCTACGGCGGCTGTTGCTGTGCGCTGAGGTGGCAGCTTTCAAGCTTTGTGGTGGTGCTCTTGAGGAGGCGAGAGGCGTGGGACGGGGAAGAGGGGAGGAGGAGGAGGAAGGGAGTGGAGGAGAAGAGAGGGTTGAAGGAGCGGGAGGGTCGAGAAGGGCAAGGGGCGCTGGGGAAGCAGGGAAGGGTGGGCTGGGAGCAGACGCGGAGGGGGAGGAGGGAGAGGAGGCGGAGGAGGAGGAGGAAGAGGAGGAGGATGATGCAGGGACAGTGAGTGAGGCGGAGGAGCACGAGGAGGAGGAGGGGCTGAAGGGCCCGTCTGCATCGCGGTGCTTATGGCGGTCGAGGCGAGTGCGGCGCGTGTGGAGGAGGGAGGTGATGGGTGCTCGCACACTCGCCACCCTCGCTTACCTCGCTGCCTCCCTCAGGTGTGTGATTCGCATCGCAGTTGGAGTAACTGCAATGCTCAGGTATGTTGGTTGGAGTCACTTTTGAGAAATTTCAAAAGTGAGGCGCGTGTGGAGGAGGGGGGTGATGGGTGCTCGTACTCTTGCCACTCTCACTTACCTCCCTCAGGTGTGTGTTTCCCAGTCGGACCACTTCCCTCTCTCAGGTATGCCCTTGCCCTAGCTGCTTCCCGCAGGTATGCTACCCGTGGACTAGCTTTTGAGGCGCCCCTGCAGAGGAGAGGAGGAGCACTAGCTGCTTCCCGCAGGTATGCTACCCGTGGACTAGCTTTTGAGGCGCCCCTGCAGAGGAGAGGAGGAGCACTAGCTGCTTCCCGCAGGTATGCTACCCGTGGACTAGCTTTTGAGGCGCCCCTGCAGAGGAGAGGAGGAGCACTAGCTGCTTCCCGCAGGTATGCTACCCGTGGACTAGCTTTTGAGGCGCCCCTGCAGAGGAGAGGAGGAGCACTAGCTGCTTCCCGCAGGTATGCTACCCGTGGACTAGCTTTTGAGGCGCCCCTGCAGAGGAGAGGAGGAGCACTAGCTGCTTCCCGCAGGTATGCTACCCGTGGACTAGCTTTTGAGGCGCCCCTGCAGAGGAGAGGAGGAGCACTAGCTGCTTCCCGCAGGTATGCTACCCGTGGACTAGCTTTTGAGGCGCCCCTGCAGAGGAGAGGAGGAGCACTAGCTGCTTCCCGCAGGTATGCTACCCGTGGACTAGCTTTTGAGGCGCCCCTGCAGAGGAGAGGAGGAGCACTAGCTGCTTCCCGCAGGTATGCTACCCGTGGACTAGCTTTTGAGGCGCCCCTGCAGAGGAGAGGAGGAGCACTAGCTGCTTCCCGCAGGTATGCTACCCGTGGACTAGCTTTTGAGGCGCCCCTGCAGAGGAGAGGAGGCGCACTAGCTGCTTCCCGCAGGTATGCTACCCGTGGACTAGCTTTTGAGGCGCCCCTGCAGAGGAGAGGAGGAGCACTAGCTGCTTCCCGCAGGTATGCTACCCGTGGACTAGCTTTTGAGGCGCCCCTGCAGAGGAGAGGAGGAGCACTAGCTGCTTCCCGCAGGTATGCTACCCGTGGACTAGCTTTTGAGGCGCCCCTGCAGAGGAGAGGAGGAGCACTAGCTGCTTCCCGCAGGTATGCTACCCGTGGACTAGCTTTTGAGGCGCCCCTGCAGAGGAGAGGAGGAGCACTAGCTGCTTCCCGCAGGTATGCTACCCGTGGACTAGCTTTTGAGGCGCCCCTGCAGAGGAGAGGAGGAGCACTAGCTGCTTCCCGCAGGTATGCTACCCGTGGACTAGCTTTTGAGGCGCCCCTGCAGAGGAGAGGAGGAGCACTAGCTGCTTCCCGCAGGTATGCTACCCGTGGACTAGCTTTTGAGGCGCCCCTGCAGAGGAGAGGAGGAGCACTAGCTGCTTCCCGCAGGTATGCTACCCGTGGACTAGCTTTTGAGGCGCCCCTGCAGAGGAGAGGAGGAGCACTAGCTGCTTCCCGCAGGTATGCTACCCGTGGACTAGCTTTTGAGGCGCCCCTGCAGAGGAGAGGAGGAGCACTAGCTGCTTCCCGCAGGTATGCTACCCGTGGACTAGCTTTTGAGGCGCCCCTGCAGAGGAGAGGAGGAGCACTAGCTGCTTCCCGCAGGTATGCTACCCGTGGACTAGCTTTTGAGGCGCCCCTGCAGAGGAGAGGAGGAGCACTAGCTGCTTCCCGCAGGTATGCTACCCGTGGACTAGCTTTTGAGGCGCCCCTGCAGAGGAGAGGAGGAGCACTAGCTGCTTCCCGCAGGTATGCTACCCGTGGACTAGCTTTTGAGGCGCCCCTGCAGAGGAGAGGAGGCGCACTAGCTGCTTCCCGCAGGTATGCTACCCGTGGACTAGCTTTTGAGGCGCCCCTGCAGAGGAGAGGAGGAGCACTAGCTGCTTCCCGCAGGTATGCTACCCGTGGACTAGCTTTTGAGGCGCCCCTGCAGAGGAGAGGAGGAGCACTAGCTGCTTCCCGCAGGTATGCTACCCGTGGACTAGCTTTTGAGGCGCCCCTGCAGAGGAGAGGAGGAGCACTAGCTGCTTCCCGCAGGTATGCTACCCGTGGACTAGCTTTTGAGGCGCCCCTGCAGAGGAGAGGAGGAGCACTAGCTGCTTCCCGCAGGTATGCTACCCGTGGACTAGCTTTTGAGGCGCCCCTGCAGAGGAGAGGAGGAGCACTAGCTGCTTCCCGCAGGTATGCTACCCGTGGACTAGCTTTTGAGGCGCCCCTGCAGAGGAGAGGAGGAGCACTAGCTGCTTCCCGCAGGTATGCTACCCGTGGACTAGCTTTTGAGGCGCCCCTGCAGAGGAGAGGAGGAGCACTAGCTGCTTCCCGCAGGTATGCTACCCGTGGACTAGCTTTTGAGGCGCCCCTGCAGAGGAGAGGAGGAGCACTAGCTGCTTCCCGCAGGTATGCTACCCGTGGACTAGCTTTTGAGGCGCCCCTGCAGAGGAGAGGAGGAGCACTAGCTGCTTCCCGCAGGTATGCTACCCGTGGACTAGCTTTTGAGGCGCCCCTGCAGAGGAGAGGAGGAGCACTAGCTGCTTCCCGCAGGTATGCTACCCGTGGACTAGCTTTTGAGGCGCCCCTGCAGAGGAGAGGAGGAGCACTAGCTGCTTCCCGCAGGTATGCTACCCGTGGACTAGCTTTTGAGGCGCCCCTGCAGAGGAGAGGAGGAGCACTAGCTGCTTCCCGCAGGTATGCTACCCGTGGACTAGCTTTTGAGGCGCCCCTGCAGAGGAGAGGAGGAGCACTAGCTGCTTCCCGCAGGTATGCTACCCGTGGACTAGCTTTTGAGGCGCCCCTGCAGAGGAGAGGAGGAGCACTAGCTGCTTCCCGCAGGTATGCTACCCGTGGACTAGCTTTTGAGGCGCCCCTGCAGAGGAGAGGAGGCGCACTAGCTGCTTCCCGCAGGTATGCTACCCGTGGACTAGCTTTTGAGGCGCCCCTGCAGAGGAGAGGAGGAGCACTAGCTGCTTCCCGCAGGTATGCTACCCGTGGACTAGCTTTTGAGGCGCCCCTGCAGAGGAGAGGAGGAGCACTAGCTGCTTCCCGCAGGTATGCTACCCGTGGACTAGCTTTTGAGGCGCCCCTGCAGAGGAGAGGAGGAGCACTAGCTGCTTCCCGCAGGTATGCTACCCGTGGACTAGCTTTTGAGGCGCCCCTGCAGAGGAGAGGAGGAGCACTAGCTGCTTCCCGCAGGTATGCTACCCGTGGACTAGCTTTTGAGGCGCCCCTGCAGAGGAGAGGAGGAGCACTAGCTGCTTCCCGCAGGTATGCTACCCGTGGACTAGCTTTTGAGGCGCCCCTGCAGAGGAGAGGAGGAGCACTAGCTGCTTCCCGCAGGTATGCTACCCGTGGACTAGCTTTTGAGGCGCCCCTGCAGAGGAGAGGAGGAGCACTAGCTGCTTCCCGCAGGTATGCTACCCGTGGACTAGCTTTTGAGGCGCCCCTGCAGAGGAGAGGAGGAGCACTAGCTGCTTCCCGCAGGTATGCTACCCGTGGACTAGCTTTTGAGGCGCCCCTGCAGAGGAGAGGAGGAGCACTAGCTGCTTCCCGCAGGTATGCTACCCGTGGACTAGCTTTTGAGGCGCCCCTGCAGAGGAGAGGAGGAGCACTAGCTGCTTCCCGCAGGTATGCTACCCGTGGACTAGCTTTTGAGGCGCCCCTGCAGAGGAGAGGAGGAGCACTAGCTGCTTCCCGCAGGTATGCTACCCGTGGACTAGCTTTTGAGGCGCCCCTGCAGAGGAGAGGAGGAGCACTAGCTGCTTCCCGCAGGTATGCTACCCGTGGACTAGCTTTTGAGGCGCCCCTGCAGAGGAGAGGAGGCGCACTAGCTGCTTCCCGCAGGTATGCTACCCGTGGACTAGCTTTTGAGGCGCCCCTGCAGAGGAGAGGAGGAGCACTAGCTGCTTCCCGCAGGTATGCTACCCGTGGACTAGCTTTTGAGGCGCCCCTGCAGAGGAGAGGAGGAGCACTAGCTGCTTCCCGCAGGTATGCTACCCGTGGACTAGCTTTTGAGGCGCCCCTGCAGAGGAGAGGAGGAGCACTAGCTGCTTCCCGCAGGTATGCTACCCGTGGACTAGCTTTTGAGGCGCCCCTGCAGAGGAGAGGAGGAGCACTAGCTGCTTCCCGCAGGTATGCTACCCGTGGACTAGCTTTTGAGGCGCCCCTGCAGAGGAGAGGAGGAGCACTAGCTGCTTCCCGCAGGTATGCTACCCGTGGACTAGCTTTTGAGGCGCCCCTGCAGAGGAGAGGAGGAGCACTAGCTGCTTCCCGCAGGTATGCTACCCGTGGACTAGCTTTTGAGGCGCCCCTGCAGAGGAGAGGAGGAGCACTAGCTGCTTCCCGCAGGTATGCTACCCGTGGACTAGCTTTTGAGGCGCCCCTGCAGAGGAGAGGAGGAGCACTAGCTGCTTCCCGCAGGTATGCTACCCGTGGACTAGCTTTTGAGGCGCCCCTGCAGAGGAGAGGAGGCGCACTAGCTGCTTCCCGCAGGTATGCTACCCGTGGACTAGCTTTTGAGGCGCCCCTGCAGAGGAGAGGAGGCGCACTAGCTGCTTCCCGCAGGTATGCTACCCGTGGACTAGCTTTTGAGGCGCCCCTGCAGAGGAGAGGAGGCGCACTAGCTGCTTCCTGCAGGTATGCTACCCGTGGACTAGCTTTTGAGGCGCCCCTGCAGAGGAGAGGAGGAGCACTAGCTGCTTCCCGCAGGTATGCTACCCGTGGACTAGCTTTTGAGGCGCCCCTGCAGAGGAGAGGAGGAGCACTAGCTGCTTCCCGCAGGTATGCTACCCGTGGACTAGCTCGCCCCTGCAGAGGAGAGGAGGAGCACTAGCTGCTTCCCGCAGGTATGCTACCCGTGGACTAGCTTTTGAGGCGCCCCTGCAGAGGAGAGGAGGAGCACTAGCTGCTTCCCGCAGGTATGCTACCCGTGGACTAGCTTTTGAGGCGCCCCTGCAGAGGAGAGGAGGCGCACTAGCTGCTTCCCGCAGGTATGCTACCCGTGGACTAGCTTTTGAGGCGCCCCTGCAGAGGAGAGGAGGCGCACTAGCTGCTTCCTGCAGGTATGCTACCCGTGGACTAGCTTTTGAGGCGCCCCTGCAGAGGAGAGGAGGAGCACTAGCTGCTTCCCGCAGGTATGCTACCCGTGGACTAGCTTTTGAGGCGCCCCTGCAGAGGAGAGGAGGAGCACTAGCTGCTTCCCGCAGGTATGCTACCCGTGGACTAGCTCGCCCCTGCAGAGGAGAGGAGGAGCACTAGCTGCTTCCCGCAGGTATGCTACCCGTGGACTAGCTTTTGAGGCGCCCCTGCAGAGGAGAGGAGGAGCACTAGCTGCTTCCCGCAGGTATGCTACCCGTGGACTAGCTTTTGAGGCGCCCCTGCAGAGGAGAGGAGGAGCACTAGCTGCTTCCCGCAGGTATGCTACCCGTGGACTAGCTTTTGAGGCGCCCCTGCAGAGGAGAGGAGGAGCACTAGCTGCTTCCCGCAGGTATGCTACCCGTGGACTAGCTTTTGAGGCGCCCCTGCAGAGGAGAGGAGGAGCACTAGCTGCTTCCCGCAGGTATGCTACCCGTGGACTAGCTTTTGAGGCGCCCCTGCAGAGGAGAGGAGGAGCACTAGCTGCTTCCCGCAGGTATGCTACCCGTGGACTAGCTTTTGAGGCGCCCCTGCAGAGGAGAGGAGGAGCACTAGCTGCTTCCCGCAGGTATGCTACCCGTGGACTAGCTTTTGAGGCGCCCCTGCAGAGGAGAGGAGGAGCACTAGCTGCTTCCCGCAGGTATGCTACCCGTGGACTAGCTTTTGAGGCGCCCCTGCAGAGGAGAGGAGGCGCACTAGCTGCTTCCCGCAGGTATGCTACCCGTGGACTAGCTTTTGAGGCGCCCCTGCAGAGGAGAGGAGGCGCACTAGCTGCTTCCTGCAGGTATGCTACCCGTGGACTAGCTTTTGAGGCGCCCCTGCAGAGGAGAGGAGGAGCACCAGCTGCTTCCCGCAGGTATGCTACCCGTGGACTAGCTTTTGAGGCGCCCCTGCAGAGGAGAGGAGGAGCACTAGCTGCTTCCCGCAGGTATGCTACCCGTGGACTAGCTCGCCCCTGCAGAGGAGAGGAGGAGCACTAGCTGCTTCCCGCAGGTATGCTACCCGTGGACTAGCTTTTGAGGCGCCCCTGCAGAGGAGAGGAGGAGCACTAGCTGCTTCCCGCAGGTATGCTACCCGTGGACTAGCTTTTGAGGCGCCCCTGCAGAGGAGAGGAGGAGCACTAGCTGCTTCCCGCAGGTATGCTACCCGTGGACTAGCTTTTGAGGCGCCCCTGCAGAGGAGAGGAGGAGCACTAGCTGCTTCCCGCAGGTATGCTACCCGTGGACTAGCTTTTGAGGCGCCCCTGCAGAGGAGAGGAGGCGCACTAGCTGCTTCCCGCAGGTATGCTACCCGTGGACTAGCTTTTGAGGCGCCCCTGCAGAGGAGAGGAGGCGCACTAGCTGCTTCCTGCAGGTATGCTACCCGTGGACTAGCTTTTGAGGCGCCCCTGCAGAGGAGAGGAAGAGCACTAGCTGCTTCCCGCAGGTATGCTACCCGTGGACTAGCTTTTGAGGCGCCCCTGCAGAGGAGAGGAGGAGCACTAGCTGCTTCCCGCAGGTATGCTACCCGTGGACTAGCTTTTGAGGCGCCCCTGCAGAGGAGAGGAGGAGCACTAGCTGCTTCCCGCAGGTATGCTACCCGTGGACTAGCTTTTGAGGCGCCCCTGCAGAGGAGAGGAGGAGCACTAGCTGCTTCCCGCAGGTATGCTACCCGTGGACTAGCTTTTGAGGCGCCCCTGCAGAGGAGAGGAGGAGCACTAGCTGCTTCCCGCAGGTATGCTACCCGTGGACTAGCTTTTGAGGCGCCCCTGCAGAGGAGAGGAGGAGCACTAGCTGCTTCCCGCAGGTATGCTACCCGTGGACTAGCTTTTGAGGCGCCCCTGCAGAGGAGAGGAGGAGCACTAGCTGCTTCCCGCAGGTATGCTACCCGTGGACTAGCTTTTGAGGCGCCCCTGCAGAGGAGAGGAGGAGCACTAGCTGCTTCCCGCAGGTATGCTACCCGTGGACTAGCTTTTGAGGCGCCCCTGCAGAGGAGAGGAGGCGCACTAGCTGCTTCCTGCAGGTATGCTACCCGTGGACTAGCTTTTGAGGCGCCCCTGCAGAGGAGAGGAGGAGCACTAGCTCCTTCCCGCAGGTATGCTTCATTCCTCGCGCCTTTCCCCTTTTTCCTTCCTCCCTTACCCGCCGTCACAGAGAACGATGCAATGCCCTTGACGCTTCCAAGCTTCACACAGAGAAGGATGGTGAGGGGGAAGAAGAGGACGAGGGGGTATTGGGCCTGATCCATTTGAGTCATCCTCCCTTGTTCCACCACGTGTCTTTCCCCTTTTTCCTTCCTCCCTTACCCGTCACAGAGATCGATGCAATGCCCTTGACGCTTCCAAGCTTCACACAGTTACGGAGAGAGGAGAGGGGAGAGGTGAGGAGAGAGGAGAGGGCGACGAGGTATCAAACGACGGGAACGAAGAGAGTGAGGAGGGAGAAGAGAGAGGAGAGGAAGAGGTGGAAGAGGGGAGTGAAGGGAGTGAGGAGGAGAAGGGGGAAAGTGAGGATGAGGAGGAAGAGGTGTTAGAGAAAAGGGATTTGGCCAAAAGTGGTGGTGGAAGGAAGAAGCAGGGGAAGAGGAAAATTGGGGGGAGTGGGACGAAATCTAGGGAGAGTAGGAGAAAGCAGGGGAGCAGAGGCAAGAGAAACACCGAGTCATCTGAAGACGAGGAGGAGGAGGATGAGGATATGGAAGGGGGGGAGGAGGAGGAGGATGAGGAGGCTGGGGCCTCAGGGAAGTTTGGGGGGCAAGGAGAAGAGGAGGAAGATCAGGGTTTCACGACGGTTGGAGGCAGGAAGCTGAGGGCGAGAGGTGGTGGTGAGGCGAAGGCGAAGGGGAAGGGGAAGGGGAAGGTATCAGGTCGCCAGGCTGCTTCTAATGGGAACAAGGGCAATCCGTCTCTTTCCCCTTCTGCTACTGCCGCCGCCGCTTCTGCTGCTTTGCAAGCAGCTGTTTCCCCTAAGCTGCTGCCTCCTTCCCTCTGTGCTTCTTGCGGACAGGCAGTGGGGACAGGGGGAGGGGAGGCTGGAGCAGGGGAGGTGGTGCGGTGTGCGGCGGTGCAGTGCGGTAAGGCGTTTCACCCTGTGTGTGCGGGGCTGAGGCGCATGGCTGCCAAGGCTGCTTGGTTCTGTACCGAGTGCCGCCAGGGGAGGAGGCGGAAGGTGGGGAATGAGATGGGGGGAAAGGGTGGGAAGGGTGGGATGGGCGGGAGGGGTGGGAAGGGCGAAAGTGATGGAGAGGGTTGGAGGCGAAGGGGTAGGAAGCGTGGGAGAGGGGAGGATGTGGAGGAGGAGGAAGAAGAAGAGGTGGGAGAGGACGAGGGAGACGAGGAGGGAGAGGAGAAGGAGGTGATTGGGGAAGGGAGTAGTAGTGGGGAAGAAGAGGGAGAGGACGGAGAGGAGGGAGAGGAAGGAGAGGAGGATGAAGAGGAAGAGGAGGAAGACGAGGACAGTGAGGAGGAAAGGAAAGTGCGTGGAAGGGGCAGCGAGGGGAGGATGACTAGTAAAGCGAAAGGCAGAGGCAGGTCTGCTATTGATACTCTAACGCGGAAGAAAGGGGAAGAGAGTGAGGAGGAAGAGGAGGAAGAGGAGGACGAGGAGGAGGGAGAGGATGAGGACGAAGAAGAGGATAGTGAGGAGGAAAGGAAAGTGCGTGGGAGGAGCAGCAACAAAAGGATTGTTTCTAAAGTGAAAGGAGGAGTTGCTGGTGCTCGTAATGCCCATGCTAAGAAACCGCGCAGGGAAAAAGAGGAGGACGAGGAGGAAGAGGATGAGGAGGAAGAAGAAAGGGAGGAAGAAGAGGAAGAGGAGGGCGAGGGGGAAGAGGATGAGAGCGAGGAGGAGAGTGAGGAGGATAGCAGGGAGTGGAGGGGAAGTCATGGGAGAAAAAGCAAGGGAAATTCGCTCACGAAAGGGAAGGGGGTGACTTTTGAGAAACACAGCGAGTCGACTCAAAAGTCACCTCGCAAAGGAAAGCTACTCACCAAAGGGAAGCGCCGGAGTGGTGGTAGTGCTGTTGATGCAACAAGGGCTGGGCGAATGCATAAGAGGAAAGGTGCAGTGGAAGAGGAAGAGGAGGAGGAGGAGGAGGAGGAGGATGAGAGTGATAGGGATAGTGAGGACGAATGGAGGGTGGAAGGATGGGTTAATAAAGGAAGGCTCGAGATTCGTATCGGGAGTAGCAGCAAGGGAAGGAAGAAACCACAGATGAAGAGGAGGAAGAAGGATTGTGAGGAGGAGGAAGAGGATGAGGAAGAAGGGAGTGAGGAGGAGGAGGAGGAGGAGGAGGAGGAGGAGGAGGAGGAGGAGGAGGAGGAGGAGGAGGAGGAGGAGGAGGAGGAGGAGGAGGAGGAGGAGGAGGAAGAGAGTGAGGAGGAAGAAAAGAGTGAGGAAGAGAGTTCAGAAGGTGGTGGTACCGTTTCGTTGAGAGGGAAGAGGATGGAGGGTCGGGGAGGGAAAAGCGTTGGGGGACAGGGAGGCGGGAAGGAGCAAGAGCGGAAGTTGGTGGGACGAGAGGCAGGGAAAGGCGTGAAGAAGGGAAAAGGAAATGGGAATGTCAAAGGGAAAGGGAAGGCGAATGGGAAAGGGAAAGGGAATGTGAGTGAGAAGGGGAGACGTCCAGGGGAAGCCGTTAAACTTGATGACAGCGAGGAGATTCGTGGCAGTGAGAGTGAGAGGGAGAGTGAGAGTGAGAGCAAGAGTGAGAGGGACAGTGAGAGTGATAGGGGTGGAAATGGGCTTGCTGAGAGGAAGAAGGTTACTCGTGGGTCGTTGTCAAGCCAGGAAAGGCCGACCGATGGGAAGGTGAGCCGAAAAAAGCCGACCCAGGAGAAGCGAGCCCAAGAGTCAAAAACTCCAGAACAACCGGCCCTTGTGCTACTTGGAGCGAGAGGAGTGACTCTTGAGTCGACTCAAAAGTCATCCCAAGTGAAGCAGCCCCAAAAGACGAAGAAAAATCCAGAACAAGAAGAGTCAAAGACTCCAGAACAACCAGCCCCTGTGGTACTAGGAGCGAGAAGGATGACTCGTGGCATGCTTGAAAGCAGCAGCAAGGGGAGGAGAGAGAACGAGGAGGAGGAGGAGGAGGAAGAAGAGGAAGAAGAGGAAGAAGAGGAAGAAGAGGAAGAGGAGGAAGAGGAGGGAGAGGAAGGGAGTGAAGAAGAAGAGGAGGGGGAGGAGAGCAGTGGGGAGGAGGAAGATGCAGGCAGCGTTGGTGGGAAGAAGGTGGGTGATTTGAAGAAGCTGGGTGATGGGCGTGGGACTGGGAAGGTGAAAGCGGGTGGAGGCAGACACAAAGTGGCTTTGGTTGAGTCGACACTCCAGTCGCGTCGGGGAAAGCAGCAGCAGCAGCAGCAGCCAAGAAAGAAGGAGAAAGAGGGAAGAGGAGGAGTGGAAGAGGGGCAGGAGAAGGCAGGAGGGAAAAAGGAGGAGAAGGCAGGAGGGAAAGAGAAGGAGAAGGCAGGAGGGAAAAAGAAGGAGAAGGCAGGAGGGAAAGAGAAGGAGAAGGCAGGAGGGAAAGAGAAAGATGAGGCAGGAGGGAATGAGAGGGAGAAGGCAGGAGGAAAAGGGAAGGAGAAGGCAGGAGGGAAAGAGAAGGAGAAGGCAGAAGGGAAAGAGATGGGGAAGGCAGGAGGGAAAGAGAAGGAGAAGGCAGGAGGGAAAGAGGAGGAGGAGGCAGGGAGGTATGGGAAGGCCTATTCTCGAACGAGAAGGAGAGACACTGTTTAACAGGCAATATGGTCAATGGTTGTGGGTCAGCGGATGAGCATATGAGCGTACTGGATTACCAGCTTGTGGGTCAATGGAGGCATAGCCATATGAGAAATGCTTCCCAGCTTAGAGGCGGGGAGAAGCGAGGTGGAAAGAGGTGAGGGTTAGGGGGTGGGGCTAATGGGGTGGGCTTGGTAAGGGGTTGGGGCGTGGAAAAGGAGGGGTTGTGACTAGCGTGCGGTTGAGACGGCATGTGGGTGTGACTAGTGTGCGATTGAGACGCCTCAATGAGTGAGGTGGTGTGTTAAGGGACATGGCAATAAGGGGTTGGAGTGTGGAAGAGGAGGGTGTGGGACTAGTTTGCATGTGAAACAGGTTGGTGATGTTGCTGCTACGTACGGTATGTCTGTTGATCTGGGAATGAGAAGCTCTGAATGAGGGTCTCTGACTGAAGGCACCGCCACTCTTGATCATTCTCGAAAGTGATTCAAAGTACCGTATGTTCGCATACGTTTCCCAGGTATCGGAATGCATGCATCTGGTAGGTGTGCTACGGTACTGTACTGTAGTTGCTGGGGCATGACATGGCGCTCGGCTTGATCCATACTTGGATAGTGTTGTTACCTCCTCCAAACACAATAACAAGTCAAGGCACCATGATTGGTACAAAGAAACAAAAGAGCAGTTGATAACATGAAGTAGTTAATTGTAAATTGTAAGGAAATTTCCTTTTCCTTACTTCGCGCCCCTGCTTACCGCGTACATGACCATTCCTGCCACCAGCACCCAACAGTGAAACGTTACCCGCTCGCGACACTTGCCTCGACCACGACTCCCGCCACTGTTCATGATGCAATCCAACCTCACGGTTCAGTTGGTAACCGCGCTCCGGACCTCCGCCTCGACAATTTCCCAACCTCGGCGCTAGGGCCGTAGCGCACCCCAATTTCTCGCGTTACCGTTACCACGCTAGCTTCGCTATATATTATTCGCTCATGCCTTCGCTCAATGTATTGTTTTGTTTCGATAGTGCAATTCTGGTATTCAGAGCCTACGATCTCTCTTCGGACCGCACCCACACCTTCGCTTCCCCGGGGGGGGGGGGGGGGGGTGGGGAGGGGGGGAGGGTAAGACGTCCCTCAGCGTTCAGGCACCGCCGCTCGAAGTGCTCTCTCGAAAGCACGCACGGCCATGACTGAGGCTCTCGCTGAGCTTGCCCGACACCCCCACCATGACCGAACTCAACCTTGCGACGTTGACGCGGGAACAGCTCGACCGTCTCGTGCGCCAACTCGAAGATTCGGCGCTCGAAATCGCAACTCTCACGGCGGAACGTGACTCCGCCCGCCAGCAATCAACGGTGAATGCACCAGCACCAACACAAGCACCTGCAAATGCACATGCGCAATCGGATGAGCCGATTGTCATCTCATCCGGCACACCGTCACATCACGACAGCGTGGGACAACGCTCAGGCGCAGCCAGTGATGGCGCCGCCCAATCAATGCCCGGCATGGAGAGAAACAGGGCCGCACCAAGCACGAGCGGGCCTCGCGAAGCCCGTCGTCACGTCGAATTTGCAGCAACAAGCGGTAACGACAACATCGTCGCACTGATGCCGCTCAAGCCGCAACGCCCGCTCTGCTTCGATACCAGCCAACGTGGAGGTTCGACGGTTCAATCGTGGGTCTTCACGATGAACGTCTTCTTCGACGCGAATTACGTCGAGTCGGATGCAGCGAAGATGCGATACGCTGTTTCGCTGCTACGAGGCCCCGCCATGGACTGGTGGCGAGTCATTGTGACGTCGCCACGTGCATACGAGCCGCTGTCGCAAGAGGAAGGGCCCATGGGTCCAGCAGTCACCTGGAGTTCATTTTGCAAAACCGCCCAGTACAGTACGTGGGATGCGTGGTGCGCAGGGCTTCGGGCGCGCTTTGAGCCGATCGCGGCTTCTATTTCAGCGCGTCAAAAACTGCGTACTTGGCGACAACTTGGGTCGGTCCAAGATTATACGAGCGGTTTTCTCGCACTATGCGAGCAAGTCGGCTACATGTACGAGGCGGAGCGGGTGGACCATTACGACGGAGGGCTGAAGCTGGACATCTCGCACGAAATCATGCTACGCGGGCTATCGAATATCAACGAAATCCTCGCGCTCGCCGAGAAAATCGACATTTTGCGCCGTCCGAGGCCGCGGTCCTATTACGGACATCGCCCTCGGCGGCCGACCGAGCACGCCACCGTAACACACCGTTGCGGCGAATGCAGCTGCTGCGCCATTTAAGGGGCGCTGCTTTGCTTGCAATAGGCCGGGCCATCGCAAGAGCGAATGCCCAGAGGAGTTGAGATGCCGCGGAACAGAGCAGAGGAGGGAGTCTCAGAGGCAGGGAGACGCCAATAGTCAGTAGAAAACGGGCCAACTACTGACGAGACAATCTGCTCGCCCAACCTCACTGACCCTCACCGAGTCACAGTACCGATTCACGCCATCGATCGGGCTCGGATGAATAAGGAGGGAACAGCGACGGATTGCCCAATACTGATTTACGGGAAAATACAGGGGGCAGCGGTGAAGATTTTTATAGACGGAGGAGCAAGTCACGGCTTAGTTAATACTGCAACCTCACGGAAATTGCAACTGACACTTAGCCGCTGTTTACCGCAGATCGACGCACGTATAGTTGACGGCACGCCACTGGCCATATGGGAGAAAGTAGAGAGGGTGAAAGTTCGCTGCGGGGGAAATTTCGGGTTTACACTGGAAATGCTCGCGACGACGCAGGATGGGCACGACATTTTACTGGGGCGTGATTGGCTGCGACGCTACAACCCGCGAATTGACTGGACGACGGGTAGCTGCACTATGCGAAGTAGTGGTAGCTGGGTCGAACTACCTCGCTGGCGGTCACTCGAGTCTTCGACGGTCCACGTCAATGCCATCACAATGAAACGGGCCGTCGTCGCTGGAGCTGACGTGTACACGGTGGACATCGCATTGGTAGGAGAAGCAGAGCAGCCGAGTGATTTTCAGAAACTGCTAGCAGCCGTACTGCCCGAACTACAGGAACTACTGAAACGGTACCTGGGGATCTTTCCGGACGATTTTCCGGAGGGATTGCCACCTCGGCGAGCACACGACCACCACATAGAACTAGAACCGGGGGCACAGCCAACTGTACAGCGACAATTCAGACTGACACAGCCCGAGCTCGACGAACTGAGAAAGCAGTTAGATTACCTGTTAGAGAAAAAAATCATCCGACCGAGCTCGTTACCGACATTGTTTGCCGCATCGATATTGTTCACACAGAAAAAAGACGGAGTTTTTCGCATGTGTATCGACTACCGCACACTGAACCGGGTAACAGTCAAATCGCGATATCCCATCCCCCGCGCTGACGAACTAATAGATCAACTGCGAACAACATGGGTCTTTTCGAAAATTGACTTACGAGGGGGTTACCATCAGATTAGGGTCGAACCATCGGACTGCGCCAAGACGTCATCTAGAACTCGGTACGGGTCATTCGAGTATACAGTGATGCTATTCGAGCTGACCAACGCACCGGCAACTTTTCAGATGACCATGAACGAGGCGTTTATGCCACTTGAGATAAATGCGTGATAGTTTACCTCGACGGCATCTTGGTCTACAGCCGCGACAAGGAGCAGCATTTAGCCGACTTAGAAGCACTGTTTAAACTTTTAGACGAGCACAGACTACTGACGAAGGGTTCGAATTGCGAGTCCTTCCAAGATAGGCTAGAGTTTTTCGGGCACGTTATTTCGGAGGCTGGAGTTGAGATCGACCCAAAGAAGCTGGACACGGTAAAAGCGTGGCACCCCCCGACAAATATCACGGAGCTGCAGAGTTTTTTAGGGTTTGTCAACTATGTGCGTTGGTTCGTCCCCAACATGGCACGGTTAACTGCCCCGCTGACGGACTTACTGTGGAAAGGGGTCGCTTTTACGTGGGGGGAGAAAGAGCATGCTGCCTTCTCTACCCTGAAAAATGTTATCTATTCACTACCCGTCCTACGCATTGCCGACCCACACCGCCCATTCGAAGCAGTTACAGACGACAACGACATCGCCATCGGAGCCGTACTGCTACAGGATTTTGGCAACGGCTTACAGCCCATCGCTTACGAATCACGAAAGCTGCATCCGCCCAAGAAAAATTACCCGATACACGACCACAAAATGCTCGTGACCGTGCATGCGTTCAAGGTCTGGCGCAGACGTCAAAGTACGGACAGACCATAAATCACTACAATACCTCCGCGCACAGCCCCACCTCAACCCACGACAGGTTCGTTGGCTCGACTTCCTCGAGTCGGATTTCCACTACACGATCACCTACAAAAAGGGGGCATCGAACATCGTTGACGCACTGACCCGCCCCACTGCCCAAATCCACGCCGTACTACTCGCCCAAACCAGCCCACTGCTCATAGGGTTTTTTACCCACGGCTACCAAACAGACTCGTTCTTCACCGAAGGAAACTCGCAGCAGTTCGCAACAGCAAAAGGGGTGTATTACGTAAAATCCGGCACTGATAGGATCCGGGTACCGGGCTACACCTTACTACGGGAATTACTGCTACAGGAGGCACATGACAGAGTCACCTCAGGACATTTCGGAGTAGAAAAAACACAGCAGCAGCTGCACCGATATTATTACTGGCCCGAGATGTTGACCGACATGCAGCGACACGTGGCATCATGTCCCACCTGCCAGCTCATGAAGTCGTCACGACAGCGACCAGTAGGACAATTGCAGTCGATACCACCCCCAGAGCATGCTTGGCAGCAGGTGACGATCGTCACGGAGTTACTGGCTAGAGCAAGTGGGAACAACGCGATCCTGGTCGTCGTCGATTGGCTGATGAAGATGGCACATTTTGCAGCCTGCAAGAAATAAATCACAGCCGAAGAAACAACCCGCCTCTTCATCGCCACTACCGTTCGAAAGCACGGAATACCAGCGGCGATCATCAGCGACTGTGACACGAAATTCACCAGCAACTTTTGGCGGAACCTGTAGCAGCAGTTTGGCATGCGACTATAGTTCAGTTCATCGTACCACCCCGAAACCGACAGACAGACAGAACGGAAAAACCAGACCATGGAACAACTAATCCGAGCCACGTGCGACGACCCGACCATGTGGGACCAACAACTACCACTCATCAAGTTCGCATACAACAACTCGCCATCTTCCACGACCCAATAGTCACCTTTCTACCTGAACCACGGGCAAGACCCCACAGTACCCATGACCACGAATCCCGACAACCCGGTGCCACGCGCGCAACAATTCACATAAATATTATAGGCAGCACGAGCCCGAGCAGCAGAAGCAATCAAGAAATCAAACGTCATCGCTAAGCGCAACGCCGACTGCCACCGCTGCCCTGTCACTTACCAACCCGACGACCTCGTATTGCTCGACACTCAAAACCTCCGCCTACCCATCACTCAGAAACTCCGCCCCCGATATTGCGGGCCATTTCGCATCAGCCACATGATCACCCCCGTCACCGCCCACCTCTTCCTCCCTGCTGACTGGTGCGTCAGCCCATTGTTCCACGTCAGCCTGCTTCGCCCATAAATCCCATCCACCAGCCAACTGGCCTCGTAACCGCCCCGCTAGCATGACACAACCGCCAACAGAGCCAATCATCACGCCCGAAAAAATATTGAGCCACCGAGTTCGTGACCCACGGGGAGCCTGCAGGATGTCCTCACCGAGTACCTGCGCAGCCGAAATTTGCGAAATGTACATGCGCTCTCGTAAGGAGGGCTTCCTTAGGGAGGGGGGTAGTGTAAGGAAATTTCATTTTCCTTATTTCACGACCCTGCTTACCGCGTACATGACCATTCCCGCCACCAGCACCCAACAGTGAAACGTTACCCGCTCGCGACACTCGCCTCGACCATGACTCCCGCCTCTGTTCAGGATGCGACCCAACCTGACGGTTCGGTTGGTAACCCGCGCTCCGGACCTCCGCCTCGACATTTCCCAACCTCGGCGCTAGGCCCGTAGCGCACCCCAATTTCTCGCGTTACCGTTACCACGCTAGCTTCAATATATATTATTCGCTCATGCCTTCGCTCAGTATATTGTTTTGCTTCGATAGTGCAATCCTCGCACGCTCGCCCAATTGCACTCGTAACATAAATGTGGATCATTAGGGCAGTTCAAATGTGTTAGCTGTACAAAACATGCAGCTACTTATCTAGACTGTTTTTTTAAGTGCAATCCAAGTAGCACATCCTGAGAGACGTTTCTGTTGGAAACATATAGTTCGCGCTTCTGATGTGTCGAACACTACAACGTAAGCGAAGCGAACTACAACGAAGTAACAGCGAGTCAACCAAAGTGGTTGACAGAAAGACAACAGCAAGAGGTTAAGTGAAGGTCAAAGGTCAGCGACCTTTGACTCGCCGAAAAGCAACGCGACAGCAAGGACACATAACTGACTCGCTGTTGAGCAGTTACCCGAGTCGTCGCTGTATCGAACCGCAACAGCAGTTACAGTTAGTTAAACCTTTCATATTCCTTGTAATAATATAAAGCCTTGTATCTCTTTGCTATAATAAACTTATATTGTTCTCACATACCAGTGCAAGGTGGTTCAGCCAGATCACTAAGACGCTTCCACTAAATACATCACTATTCTGAGCCTTAGTCTTGAAAACGATCCTAAGGGCTTTTCTCAACCCAACAGTTTCAAACCCAACCCAACTTACATACAAACCCACGCCCTCCAGTTACCACGATAAATGCACCACTTGAACCTCGGCCTATTACTACAGTTCCAACCTCCATAGCTCCTCTTCTGATCATCCCCATCATCCTCATCATTCTCTAAAACCCCTTCCGTTTTCCCATACCTCAGAACCTTTCTGCCTCCCAGAATTACGACGTTCCAAAGCCCTGACAGCAGGCCAGACCCCTCAGCTGCACAGCCTCCCTTCACTCCATGCTCACTCTTCCTCTCACTCTCATCAAGGCTCACTTTGTGAAGGGTCACCTCACCAAGGGTCGCCCCACTACTTCCTCTAGTGTCACCATTTGCAAGTGATTCTTGAGTCTGTTTGAGACTGCACTCCTCCCCTCGTCCCTTCCCTGCTACTCCAATGTCATTGTGAAGGCACAAGGCGTCATTGGTTCTTCCAGCAGACCTGCTTCCCAATTCTCCTCCTCGACCTGTAGCAGCAGACCTACTTCCCAACCTGTAGTGGTCATTGGCCTGTACTCCTCGACCTGTAGCAGCAGACCTGTGTGAACAGCTCCCTCCTCTTTCAGATGTTGCTCCTTGGACCTGCTCGTTTGAATGTGTCCCCTTGAACTTTGGAGATCCCATGGACACATGTGAGAAGCTCTTTTCCACCTCTTCCCCCTGCTGCTGCTGCTGCTGCTGCTGCTGCAGCTGCAGCTGCTGCTGCTGCTTCTGCTGCTGCTGCTGCTGCTGCTGCTGCAGCTGCTGCTGCTGCTGCTGCTGCAGCTGCTGCTGCTGCTGCTTGCAACGCCGTTCTTCGAATGAGAGCACGAAGCATACTGTTGCTGCAGGAGAGGCAGGAGCAACCGGTAAGCCGCTTCCTGTCCTTCGCAAGTGCCCAGTATTCCTGAAGTCAGGAGCGGAAACAGAGCAGGTACTGTTGCGGCTGCTAGTGATATGAACACCACTTCTTGTCCTTCGCAGGTGGCTTAAATACCTCATGTCAGGAGCAGCAGCAGAACTGGTACTATTGTTGCTGCTGCTGCTGTTGTTGTTGCTTCTATTGCTGATATGATTTCCGCTTCGTGTCCTTTGGAGCTGGGTGGAAGTTCGGATGCCAGTGGTAGTGGTGGTGATAGTGGTGGTGCGAGTCATGCTGCTGTTCATGCTTCTGTAAACGCTGCTGGTGCTGCTGCTCCGGACGTGAATGCAGCGGCGGGTGCTTTGGAGGTGGGTGGGAATTCGAGTGTCACCACTGTCAGTGCTGCTGTTTGTTCCGTTGCTGTTGCTGGTGCTGCTTTGCTGGCCACTGTGGGTGCCGCTAATGTCGTTGCTGACTCTGGTTCTGCTCGTGCTGCTGCTGCTGCCGCCAGGACCAGGGCTGGACCTTCTCACATGGGCAGTTCCGCTAATGTTGCTGCTGACACTGCTTCTAGTGCTGCTGCTGCTGCTGCTGCTGGTGCTGCTGCTGCCGCCAGGACCAGGGCTGGACCTTCTCACATGGAGGGTGCTGCGGGTTCGGCGGAGGTGGATCGGAATAGCCGGGAGGAAATTGCTGCATTCTGCTTGCTCTGATTTCTCTGCTTGCATCCGAGCCTGGTCAAGATCAGGGGTACTCCTTGTCCTCGCTAAAGGGTGACTCTTTATAGGTACGAGTATGCCGCCTTCGCCATCAATCAGAGGAGCGGAAGAACAATTGTCATTATCACAGACACCATCATCATCATCATCATTATGACGCGCGGGGGCCCTGCCGCCATCCCCGGCCACGTCGCCGCCCATGTCGCCGCCCATGTTGCCGCCCACATCGCAGCTTGCATCGCCGCCCACAGCAATCGCTGTCTTGGCTGCAGCATGGGGATCAGTTGAAGCAGCAGGATTGCAAGGGCTCTCCCATTCGTGACCGTCAGGAGCAATGGACGAAGACAAGAGTGCTGGTGGTGTGAGTGGTGGTGCTGCTGCTGGTGTGAGCGGTGGTGGTGGTGGTGCTGCTGCTGCTGCTCGTTTAAGAGCTGGACTTCGGAATCCGGAACTGAACACTCTCGGGCTGAACACCCTTGGACTCGGCAGCCTGGGGAAGTTGAAGCAGTTCCGCCCGGCCTCAGCACAATCTGCTGAGCGCTCATCAATCCCGCTGGTCGCAGTTCCTCGGACACTGCAACGTGCAGCAGCAGCAGCAGTGTCGATTTCCCCCACAGCCTCCAAGTAGACCCCCTTTCCCACGCACTCCTCTCTCCCCCAAGTCTTGCTCACGCTGCTCCACTCCCTCGGGTTCCAAGACTTGGCCTTCCGCCATGCCCTCGCCTGTCCCCCTCTTTGTTTCGCGGGCAATTCAGGACACTCCTTGAATGTCTCTATCGTTTTACAAGACTTTGCCTTCCGCCATACTCTCCCCTCACTCTTCCCCTCACTCCTCCCCTCCCTCCCCCGCTCCTTCCCCCCTTCGGTTCCCAACCATTTCTGTTGCTGCTGCTCCCCCCACGTCCCCCCCTCTTCCTCCTTCACCTTCCCCTTCCCCCTCCTTTTCCCGCCAGATTCATAGAGAAAATCTCTCCCTCTCTTCTTCCTGTTCGACTGACGATGCAATTCTTTCCCACTTTTTCCCTCCCCCTTTTCCTCCTCCTCTTCCGCCTCCCCCTCTCCCAACGCCAGTTCTTCCCAGAGAGCATCAATATCAACGGGATCCAGATTGCAACATGCCACCGCCGGGATTCGAACCCGGAGCTTCCGCGCGAAACGGTACTTTGAGGCGGCGCGGGAGCTGGCGGAGGGGTGGTGAATGGGCGCGGGGGAATGGGGAGGGGGAGATGTGCTTGCGGAATGCGCGTGCGCGGAGGAAGGGTTGGGCTGCGGGGAACAAACTGATGTGATTGGCTGAGCAGACGGGCCAAAGGGAATGGTAGCTGCAACGGCATCAGCCAAAGACTGGCAGGTGGCTGCCACAGAGGTTGTGGTAGCGGCAGCAGCAGTAGCAACAGCAGCAGCAGTAGCCGTTTCAGAAGGGCTGTTAATGGCGGGTACTGCACAGGGACTTGAAAACGACTCTGATTCACTTGGATCCCGAGAGCCTGGCGAAGGGGTTGGCTGGGCGAAATGCGGGCTGGTTACTACTGACTCGTTGCGGGGAGAAGAGTGGAGGAAGGGGGAATTCAGCAGGGACAGCGCGGGCGGCTGAAGGGCTGAGGATAATGGGGGCTGCGGGGATGCGGAACGGCGCGCGGCCGCGGACCGCGGAGCTTCCGCGTGGAATGCGGAGGGGTTGCCGACGCTGATGGGCAACTCGATCGCGCGCGGGGAAGTGGAGGGGCGCGGTGACTGCGGGGAAGCGGAGATCAATTGCGGGGAACCTGAGGGGCTAGACGATTGCGGGGAAGCGGAGGGACAGGACGATTGCGGGGAAGCGGATGGGTAGGTAGATGGGGACGAGGAAGACGAAGGGGAGGGGGAATTCGGGTGCGACGGTAGCGCGGACGCGGGCGACGCAGCGGGAAAAGAAGGGGGCGCGGAAGGGGAAGGCAAGGGGGAGGGGGAGGCGGGAGGGGATGGGGAAGGGGAGCAGCGCGGATGTATCGCAGACTGCAGAGGCGTCGCCTTTCTCAGTGACGCCGGCGACGCTGCAGTGGCCTCCTCGCGCTCAGCGCGTTCTTTGCGCTCAGCGCGCTCTTTGCGCTCGGCGCGCTCTTGAGCCGGCGTGAGCAACTCCTGGGAAGCCGGCGATGCTGCAGCGGCGACATCGCGCTCGGCACGCTCGATTCGCTCGGCCGGGGATGCCGCCACTATCGCCGCCGCTATCGCCGCCGCCATCGCCTCTGTCATCGACGCCTCCATTTCCGCCAGCTTGCCAGTGCTTCCCGAGGCGCATTCACTCCCCGCCGCGGCTTCGACGCGTATTGCCTCGCAGCGGCCGCTTCTGAGAACAATCGCTGGGCGGCGCCGCCTTCGAGTCGGGGGGCAGCGGAAGAGTAAATCCGTGGCTGCGTCCGCACACGAGCACTCGTCAATGGGTGGTTCGCGCAGGTGCAGGCGCGGGCGCAAGCGCGGAGATCCGAGGTCCACCAGCAGCAAATTACCGCGGCTGCGCGATCCGCTATCTGGCACAGGTGGCGCATCCACACAAGGAGATCCGTTGCGCAAACCATCCGCAGCCGCATCCGGCGGAAACGGAACTCCGCGACTGCGCGATCCGCCCACAGTCACAGTCACATCCGCAGCCACATCCACAGCGAGGGCTGAGGACTCGTTTCGCTGGGCCTCCAATGGTTTCCCTTGAGGCGAATTCTGCTCTGGCAGTGGCGTGATACGTTTGAGAGCGGTGTTCCGTGATCCATCGCAACGCGAGCTTCGGAGTGATGCTCCGAAGCTTTCATCATGCGGCGCGGAAGCGCGCGGCGGGGCTAATGACGTCGCTCCAGCTGAAAGGCGACCCCGGCCGTCCGATGCCATGTGATGGGAAGGATGTACGGCTGGAGGGAAGCGAGGAATGCCGAGAGTCACATTGTAGACTAGAAACAAGCTGTTAGAGCCGCCCTGGCAGTAGCCGCTAGTAGAAGGATATCCCAGCGAGTGAGCGGGCCAGTGAACCCGACACGGTGTGTCCGACACCGTTCTGTCTATCCGTGAATACCGTTCTGTGTCTATACTAGAAAGCACGTACAGGGTGCAAAGGGAATGAGATGCTATTTGAGGAGTCTATGGCTGATAGAGGCTAGTGGAACTCGCAGTGACTCGTTGGACTCGCACCGTGCAGTCGGACTCGACTCGACATGCTGAGGGTAACTCGAGGAGCAAACAAAGCTTGTGAAGCGAGAATGTTGTGAGGCGAACAAGTGAAAGGGGTTCAACTCCACAGAGCCACAAGGTGGCAGGCACCTTGTAGTCCTTCTCTCCTGGGCCCTGCCTGGCCAAAGCGAGAGCGAACTGCGGAGCCGACGGAGGGGTCCGTTCCTCTCCGCGCGGAGTCCGCGCGATCTCTTCCAGATCATCGATGATCGACCTTCTGTTGCTTCGTCGGTGCGGTGGATTCTGCCGACCGATGAATGCAAGGGCTATGGAGGTCCAGGAACAAGCATCCCTGCTCCCACAGGCGGCGATGAAGGGAGGGCAAGGAGGGGCAGTCACAACTCACTTGGGCTGGATATGCTTTTGACCCGGCAAGACAAGGACGCCACAGGGTGCTGTGTGTCCGTGGTGCCGTGCTGTGCTGTGTGGTGTGCTGCTGTGCTTTGATGTGCAAAAGATGAGGCGCAATTTGCAAACGGACGGACTATACAAATGGATGGCAGGAGCAGGAGGAACGAGAAGAATCGCCAATGTCAAGTCAATGCCGAATTCACGGAAAATGTGGAATTCCCTGGCAGAAATGCGGTTCGGGTGTAGAATACAGCGGCTCGGAATCTGAGAACCCGGCAGCGAGTTTCACGCTGCCCAATTGCATCTCTTGTTTTTGGCGCAAACGGTAACCGCGGCGTCAATAGATAGCACTTCCATCTCCCTCATTGGATACCGAACATGGATTTACTGTTTTCCGATCGATTTAGCAAACGCTTCCACCACCGACCGGTAACGCCTGTTGCAATATTGCGAACAAAAATCTCCACAAGGGGGTCGTTTCATAAGCTAGTCAAGCATTCGCGTTAGAGTAGTTTCGCTAAGAGCAAGAACTACAACTTCACCTCTTATGAGTTTTACCACCTAATTCTTATCTCACCATATGGCAGCCAAGCGAACATAAGTGGCACCCTTATATCTCCTCGTACAAGAGTGTTATTACATGAACAAAGGTCAATCTTCCCGTCGAATTTACAAGAAGAAACTAAATTACCTAGGGAAACAGGCGGATCTCCTCCTTCTGAAAGCTCTTGCTCGCAAGCTCCTTCTGCTCCTTGATATGCGTAGACGCAAATCCAGTGGCAGTTGAAGCCGAAGGAGGCCGCCCGACGTACTTAACATCCTCAAAGCTGCCCCGGTTGACACTTCGCAGCACAGTGGCGAGACGAGGTGCCACATAGGAGTATGCCCCCATGTTCATTGGCTCCTCCTGCGTCCACACCACCTCAGCCTCTGCACGGAGGGTAACAGACCATAGGAAAGCAAAAGGAGGACGATTTGAGAATTTATCACTCCAGGGGGGCACTCCCGATACTTTAAAGCAAGCTCCCATGTTCATTGGCTCCTCCTGCGTCCACACCAGGCCATGGCAATGGAGGGAGGACATTTTGAGTGGTTTTCCCCAAACACCTTGAGAGCAAGCTCCCATGCTTGCTGGTTCCTCCTGGGTCACACCACCTCAGCTCTTTGGATGCACACATGTGTATCCTGTTTGCTGCATCCATATTGCCCTAAACAAGTTTTCAATTGACACACCCTCTCTCGATCATCCCCATCCTCACCCACCCCCCCAATCCCCCCCCTTTTCCCTCCCCCCTTCTTCGTAGATTCATCCTCAACGTTAAGAAAAAAACAGTACATCTATACATAATAGCCACAAAAAAAACAGCACTCACTGCTGTAGCGCTGCACTTCGCGCTGCACGAGGTCGAAGGGGAAGGGGCAGATCTGCTCCACCCTCACCAACGCCACGTCATCCGCTCCCAGCCGCTCCCTCTCCTCCTCCAGCTCGTAATACACCTGCATTGGAAGAATATGTGTGGATTGAGCGTACAGTAACTGTGTTATATCAGCTTTCATGACAAAAAAACTGTCATACAGTGAAGATTTGAGTATACAGGAACTGTGGTATTCCTGGTTCCATGATGCAGGCATGTCCCAGCCAGAGCAGACAAAAAGCAAAACTCCACCTTGCCGGAGCAGAACACGACGCGGCGAATGCCCTCCCCCCTTTCCCCATTCGTTGGGATCCATGAAAAAAAAAAGGGGGGGGGGGGGGGGGGGGAGGAAACACACCTTGCCGGAGCAGAACACGACGCGGCGAATGCCCTCCTCCCGCTCCCCATGCTCATTCGGATCCATAATCAGCCGCTTGAACCGAGTGCCGCGCTTCTCAAACCCGGGCGTGCCCTGGCGGTCGTTGAACTCATCCAGAGGCGACTTGCAGCGCGGGTGGCGCAGCAGGCTCTTGGGAGACATGACAATGAGTGGCTTGCGGAAGTCCCGATGGATCTGCCGCCTCAACACATGGAAGTAGTTGGCTGGGGTTGTTGCGTTCACCACCTGGGGGGAAATTGGAGGACGGGGAGGAGGGGAGCAAGA